TCAGCAGGAGTATCTGAATCTCAGGCCTGATCTCTGGATCATGGGCCTAGCAATATCTTTGTAGAAGATAGAGTCACTGGTGGGGTGTCTCAGAAGTTGAGAGACAGTGTCCAGGAATGATAACCTCCCACAGACATACAGTAAGGCCTACTGTATCAGCCCCTGAATTCTGACCCATGGAGTCACCCTCAAGGGTCACAAGCCTGCCCCTTGCCTTCCTCCTGAGTGCTTGGCCTGTCTAAGCCAGTCCTCTACATTGCAGCATGTGCTGGCTAGGGGCAGTGCCACCTGTGAGTGCTAATCAGAGCCTGTTGATACTGACTGAGTATCAACCAGGCAGCAGCCAATGGAACCATGAGAATGTGCCCTGGAGCCCATCCCAGAACACAAAACGAGGGGTTCAGGGATGGAGGGGTATGAAAATGTGGGAGCAAGTGTGAGAGTCACTGTTATGCCTGGGGACTTGAGCTGGGAAGTGTCAGGTAAAATACACGGACGCCTGCCCCTGATTGGCAGGGTCTCATCAGGCAGAAAAAAAGGGAAAGGAACAAGCCAGGCCCCAGCCCAGGCCAATGTTGCTTGGCCTTTGGAGAGGCCAAGGGCGAGGTTCTGAGAGTGCGACTGAGGCCCACAGGGGCTCTGCGTCCGAAGCCACCTGAAAGCTGCACCAGGGAGTCAGGTGATTTAAGATCCAGAAGTTGTGTGTTCAGTGAGCATTTATTAGAAGCCAGGCACTGTAATAGGCGTGCAGGTTAGAGATGATGAAGAAGAGTCAGTCATCCCAAGAGTCTGGGCCAACCACTGCGTGCCTGGGAGTGTCTATCTCAGTCAGAGACCCACATTCTATCCCTGACCCACTGTAACCTGGATCCCGTGTGTGTCCCTCCTTGGACCAGTCTTCTTCCATAAAACAGCTTTACTGGGCTGGCCCCAGTTGACAAACTCTTAGAGTTGTTGGATGAAAGAGTTGTAAGTGCCTGGAGCCCCATGGCAGGGCAGGGCGGGGTGCAGCAGCAGCCCACATCAGATCCTAAGGAGGTGGAGAAACAGCCTCCAGGTCTTGGGGGCACCAGGGTTTCCACCTTCTGATAGCTGCCAAACGTGTTCCTGCAGCCAGGGAGCCTGGCAAGAAAGTCCCCACCCTGCCAGGTCGGCCTATGATGCTTAAATGACAGACGCCAACACCTGACTGCAGGCTGATGCTAACAGTGTCAGTGGAGGTGGCCTTGATTGGCAAAGGTACCATGAGCCTCCCACAAGGATACTGGGCACCTGTCACTGGCCATAGGGTAGGCAGAGGTACACAGCTCATTCCATCATTGTATGGGGTGTAGCAAGAGAGGGCCTGGATTCTAGAAGTACAAAGAACCCCCTAACCTGGTTGGGGATAAACTGGGGGCCCCATGTTCTCCCGTGAAACTTGTACATTGTGGGCAAGCAGTACTTGGAGAACTTCCATGTTCTTCTCTTTGCTTGACCTCACACATGAGGCGACAGAGCCCAAAGGGCCTCATTAACTTGTCCAAGGCCACAGAGCCACTTGGTGTGGCAGACAGGACAACTGCTATTTATATTTATGAAAAGAGAAAATGGTTCAAAGAGGTTAAGTGATTTTCCCTGGGGTCACAAAGTGAGTGAGCCATATACCTGGCCCAGATCAGAGCTGCAGAGTTCTTGTCCTTGCCGCACCAGCATCCACTGCAGTGGGACTTCTTCCACTGAGCCTGTAGCCAGGGGCAGGCAGGTGGCCCTGTATAGGCGGGGTCTGGGGAGGGAAAAGTTCATACCTCTGAGCGCTGATTCTTGGAGTCTCCAGTACAGCCAACTTCATCAAGCACATCTTGATTTCTTATAAATCAAGAAAAACATTATAATAATAAAATAATGATTCAAGACTAGATTATATATATATATCTTTAAAAAAATTATTGTATGTGTATGAGTGAGTATATTGCCTGCATGTATGTAAGTACACCTGTGTTGTGCAAAGCCCAAGGAGGCTAGAAGAGGGTGTCGGATCCCCCAGAACTGTTAGCTACCATGTGGGTGTTGAGAACCAAACCTGGTTCCTCTGCAAGAGCAGCCAGTGCTCTTAACTGCTGAGCCGTCTCTCTAGCCCCTATAGTCATCTTTATACCAGCGTGGATATAAACACAATTTTATTTTTTCAGGGCTGGAAAAGGAACCCCAGCCGTCACATATGCTATGCATGCATGCACTCTACCACCAAGCTACAATGTCCTAAATATGTTTATATGAAGGAAGGAAACAGCAGGGGAAAAAATGCTGTAATGTGGCCCTGCTCTGATGACCTCAATGACCAGCCTCTGTGACCCCATTCTATTTGGCGCAAACCCACAGCCCACCGCCTCACTGCGAATAGACAGAGCTGTGCAAGAGCCAAGGGAGCAGCAGGAAAAAGGCTGCATTTTGAAAGGCGGCCGGTCAGGGAAGAGCTTGGAAGAACTGAGTGCACACAGGGGCAGAGGTGAGAGGCAGCAGTGATGGGCAGAGGTCTGGATGTCATCCCAGAGGGCTGATGGGCGCTGTCGTGAGAATGATCAGGAGACAGCAAGGATCTCAGCATAATCATAAGAGCCTGGAAAGCCAAGGTTAAGAATTTCCTAAGGCCCCTTATTGATTTCCTGTGCCTACTAGAACAGTCAACCACAAATACGGTGACTTAAAGCAACATAATGTATTCTTTCACAGTTCTGGAGACTAGAAATCTGTGACTGGTGATACTAGGCCACAGGCAAGGTGTGGCTGGACAACCTCCCTTGCTCTAGGGTAGAGTCCATTGTCCCTTCTGATACTGAGTAGCTGTCAGTATTCCTCTGGTTCCAGCATCCTCACTTGAGCTCTGTCCCCACAGTGACACTGCCTTCCCCCACCCCTCTCTGCCTCTCTCCGAAAAAGATATTTGCAATCACACTCAGCAGGCCCCAGCTCCCCACCCCTGTAATCCAGGATAATCTCACTCCTAAATCCTTAATCAGTTCTTCAAAGCCTTTCCCTTTAGTTACCACTCATCTGATCTCAGGATTGGGACCTAACCATGTGTGGAGGCCCATGGAGGGCCTGCCTGCAGACAGCATGTGGGCATGAGCCTTGAAGTCAAGCCAGCACAGCCCAGGAGGGGCTGTCTGCCCCAAACTGGGAGAGGAGGGGAGCAGGCTCTGCAGTGGAAGTAGAGACTCTATTGAAGAGCTAGGACAGACCAAAGAGCACCCTGGGGACCTCAAGGTAAAAGAGTCCTTCTTCAGGACTGGAGAGATAGCTCAGCAGTTAAGAGCACTGGCTGCTCTTGAAGAGAACCTGGGTTTGATTCCCAGCAACCACATGGCAGCTAACACCTGTCTCTAACCCCAGTTCCAGGGGATCTGGCGCCCTCTTCGGGCTTCCACAGGCATTGCATGACACAGATGCACTTACATACATGTCAGCAAACACTCATAAAATAACACATAAAATAAAAATAAATGAGCCAGGCACGGCGGTGCACACCTTTAATCCCAGCACTCAGGAGGCAGAGGCAGGTGGACCTCTGTGAGTTCAAGGCCAGCCTAGTCTCCATAGCGAATCCAGGCCAGCTGGGGCTACAAGGGAGACCCTGTCTCAAAAAAAAAAAAAAAAAAAAAGAATTTTTAAACTTTTATTTATTTTTATTTTATGTGCATGAGTGTATAGCCTGCATGGAAGTGCACTGGTGTTGTGAAATGCTCACAGAGGTCAGAAGAGGGCATTGGATCACCCTGGGACTGGAGTTACAAATGAATGTTAGCTGCCATGTAGGTGCTGGGAGTCGAACCTGGGTCCTCTGCAAGAACAGCCAGTGCTCTTAACCACTGAGCCATATCTCCAGCCCAAATTAATTTTTTAAAAGATCCCTTCCTCTGCTAGGGTGCGGGTTCTAATCTAAGGTTTTCCTCTGTCCAGCTGACATTCACAAAGGAGTCAGTTTCCAGCAAGGTCAGTTTGTTCATAAGCAACACTGGCCAGCACAGTCATACTAAGATACAGCAAGGGCAGGGAAATCCCCTTTCCAGCCGTGACCATGGAGGTCCAGAAAGTGGGCTGGTTTTATCTGGAGGTGAAGCAAACAGAACATTTAAGTTTGGGGGTTTTTATCATTTCTTGTTCCATTTCTTCTTGGCACTTTGAAAGTGAAGGACATTGGGTCTCATATTCCCTTAGAATAGCTTACATGCTTACACAGGAAGGGTCCCCAGCTGCAATGGCTGCATCTGTAGGGGGGTGGGGACAGGTCCCCTGGAGTCAGGCACTCATTCCAGGGTGTCTAAGGCAGGGGGATGTACAGTCAGCCCTGCCTTCTTAAAATCAAGAAGCTGCTGTGAAATTGAAGAGTTCTGGAAGGTGGAGTCCTGCCCAGCCTGGAATCTGAAATTCAACCTTAAAATGAAAACACCATGCCTTAGATGTGGAGAGACTTTTCTAATCTCAATTTTATCCATGGGTGGCTCTATAGAAGGAACAGAAAATCTCCACGAAACTGTTCCCTTGTCTTTAAAATGGGCATAGATGTGGCAGGCGGGAACAATTACGCAAACGCCTGGTGTTTAGCAAGCCTGGTACAACAAACTCACGCTACGCACTAGCGCGGGCATACGCAGGGGTCCTCCACCCCGCACCTTTCCCTCGGGCCATTTCCACGAGACCCTGAGTGCGCCACCACCTAACCCCTTTAGGACCCTGGAGCCGGGAGAGGGTGGATAAGGCGCTCGTGGAGAGGCACCCGAGGGCGCGTTCCAGGCTTTCAGGCCCCGCGGCTTCAGTGCGCAGAGCTCCCTCCCGAAGCCGAGAGGGCGCACTCTCCCCACACCTCCCACGCGTGGACTTCTCTGGGCTGGGTGCTCGGGGCCGCGGGGCCCACGGGGAGGGCGGGGCGAGTCGGAGCCTTTGTGTTCAAACCGGCCAATGGGCTTTGGTAAGGGGCGGGGCCTTTTGGAGGGGTCTGGCCAATGGGCTGCGGTCTGTCAGCGTTGACTGACAGGCGCACACATACACACTCGGCCACGCGCGCGCCGCCCGGCCCCACTCGCGCAGCGCGGGCCTTCGCCGGCCGCATTGTCCGTCGGCCGATCACGCCACGTCCCGTGTCTCAGCTCTCGGTGCGTCGGAGCCCCGGACCCGATCCCCGCTACGGCCCAGCGCCAGGCGCCCCCCTTGGGACCCGGACGCAGAAAGGGGGCGCGCCCAGCCGCGGACGGAGCAGCCGCTGCAGCAGGTAAAGAAAGTGCTGGGCCGCCGCGGCCCGGGCGCGGCCTGACCCCGGGGCACCTCAGGCTTGGCGGCCGGGCCGGTGCGCCAGGCCTGCGCCCTCCATTCCGGGCCAGGATGGGCCCCGCTCCAGCCCCCGCCCGGCGAATGCCCCTGGACCAGCACGATCGGCCGGAGGCCGGCGCCCTGACTCATCCGCGGCCCCCGCTCGCGGCCGGCCGCCACTGGTCAGCCAGGAGGGCGGTGTCTCCGGGCGGGACTTCCCCGGAGGCGAGCTGAGAGCCAGCCGCCCCAAACCGGCCCAGGACAGTGCCCCTGGCCGGTTCCGGACACTGGCAGTTCCCTGCTTTGCGCCCCTCGCCGCCTTTCAGAACTCTGGGTATAGGAGAGAAGTCCATTTTCAAAGCTCAGTTCTAAGACAACAAAACCAAAACAATAACAAAGCCAGTGGGAGCCGGAATGTGACTTAGAACCCTGGGCCAGGAAGGCGCAGCTTTGGCCTGCCGGGGGTGAGCGCCTGGAGCACTTTGCAGGTCCCACGGGAAGTGGAGTGGAACTGTCTGTGCCCCGGGAGTGGAAATGTCACGTGTAAGAGCCCCACGATCTAGGCCAAGTCTCCCCCGCTGCTTGCAATTGTGATGGGGACAGAACTGAGGAAAGGGTGTCTTTTATCCCTGAAGCGGGAAGGATGTTTTAGTTAAGGGGTTTGTAACTGATTGTGGGGTTTGGGAGAGTGTCAGTGCTTAATGTGCAGAAGACTTGAGATCCTAGGGGCTCACTTCCTACTTGGGGAATACAGTGACAACATCTTTATCATCTTGTGAAACCTGGACAGCCGCTGTGGTGAACTGTTTTTTGACAACAGGATGCTGCATGAAAGACAGCAAGTAAACAGCTCCCCGAATGCTGGGAGGTAGCCGAGTGTGTTCAGCGCCCCACCTTCCTACCTCCTCTGAATGTTTAGTCTTGCCAACAGCAGGGGCAAGGGTACTGTGTAAACATGTTACATTGTTTCTGCCCCTAGCAAGGCTTCAGCTGCTGCAGCAGGGCAGGGGTTAAGAGGAGGAGGAGGGTGTGGGCATCTAGAGCTGTCAGGTGGGGGCAGCAGTCATGGGGTGGAACTTACCTTATAAGGAGCGGAATACAACCCAGGACCCAGGCCAACTTCCTGCTTTGGCTACTACCCTTTACCAACACCAGCTAAAGAGAGGGAGGGATGCCAGATGGGCATCCCACCTGGGAAGATGCCAATTAGCCCAGACAGGAGACTACTTGTCTTTCTAGCTGGATGAACCTGACCTTCTGGTTTCCATGGTCTGGGTTTGGACCAGTAATATCAAAAGTCAGTGTGGACCAGTAATATCAAAAGTGATACAAAGTCACAAAGTACCCAGAACTCTTGTAGGGGTTTAAGATGTAACAGTTATTTTGTAATGCCTGCTGGTCAAGGTGCTACAAAGACACTGCTCACATGAGTTATCTGAGATTTGGAACTGGGATTTCCAGAGCTGAAGGGCTACAATTAATCTTCCTCCTGTGGGGAAATGCTGCCTTTGGCCAGGTCTTGTCTTTTCTTTTTGGCCTCCTTATCAATTTACCCAGGTGGTGACCACCCTGTAGGCCAGACTGGCTGTAACAGTATAATGCAGCACCACCTTCCGTGTTAGTTAATGTTAGTTGTGTAACCACATAGTTTACAGCCCTGTTCCAAGTGCATACACATCTCACGTTCCTAAAAAAACTTGCAAACTTCTCGGTGGAGTATAAATGCTCCATGCCCTGTGAGATCTGAGCTCAGCTCTGGCTCTATCACCTACAGATTAGGTGATGTGGGGTAAGTTACCCCTCATTTTTCTGGGTTCTTCCCTTGTAGTTGGGAGTGATGATGGTCCTCTTGTTTGTCAGGCTCACTAATGGATATGAAAGGGGCTGGGCAGCCAGTAATCATTTATCACCATTGTCACATCAGGATATCGCAGCACAGTACACTGAGGGGCTGCAGAATATGAGCCCAGCCATAATGTCAGTGGGAAGGATTTCTGTAGTCAGGATATGACTGGGGCCCTGAATCAGTGTGACTCAGAGAAAGGAAAGGGAATCATGACCCTCGGAAAGGGAGAAGGTAGCATGAGGCTAGACAACTGTAGCGAGAGATGGAAGCACGGGATGGTGGGGCTAGAGGGCACAAGTCAGGCAGCAGTGATCAAAAGCATTGTCTAGCACCCACCAGGTGCCTGTCATGTGTCAGAGTATCTGGTGCACATCAGAGGTTGAGCAAGGCTCAATTCTGGCTCCCAGGAGTTCAGTGCCAAGGAGGATACAAGTAACCTACAAATTAGGAAACCTTGTAGAAGGAGCCATGGATGAGACTCTTGAGTCCTAAGCAAACCCCCAAGAGAGATGGCAGTCAGGGGTGAGGGGTAAGAGATCCCCACAGCACTTGGCTACTTCGCCTGAATGCATAGTGAATCTGTTCTCTGCAGCGAGGCAGTGCCAGTATCTCTTCTCTGGGGACAGGCTGGGACAGCCCCACCCCTTACATGTTGTCTTTTTCCCTTAAGTCTTTCTTCAGAAGGGTCCCCATTCCACCTCATCATGTCAAGACGAAGCCAGCGCCTCACACGCTACTCCCAGGGTGATGACGACGGCAGTAGCAGCAGTGGAGGGAGCTCAGTGACAGGAAGCCAGAGCACCCTGTTTAAAGACAGTCCTCTCAGGTAGGAACAGGGAAGCACCACAGCTCCACAGAGCAGGTGACTCTTCCTGTTGCCACCTTTGTGAGAGGAGAAGAGAAGCCAGTGTTTGATCAAGAAGGTTTTGCCTTTCTTTTTACTTGTGAAGATGCTAGTACCCAGTACCCTGCCTTCACCCACTGTGAGCAGAGGCCACCCTACCTCAGGTTTAGAGAACAGGAAGTGGGGAGAGACATCCTCAAGCAAAAGTCAGGCCGGAAATGCTGAAGATGTAAGCTGGGCTCCCAGCACCCTTGTGCTCTGAATGGGTGTGGCAGTCCAGCCACCCTTCCCAGGCCAACATCTCAAATCTCACTACCTGTAGGACCTCAGCATCTGGTCAGTGGCTCAGGGCAATAGTGCCTGGTCATCCTGTCTCCTTGCAGCCATATGAGGCCCCAAGGCTCTGGCTACCTCTGGAGGCCAGGTCATGTTTGTCCAGGTTTTCTGTGAGTTGTAGAAACTAATCCCACTAAGAAACATGGGGAAACCTTTGGCTTTGAAATTAGAAAGCCCATTGAACTCTGGCCCTATCTCTTAACTGATGAGCTTGCCTATTTCTGGTGAGATTCAGTGATACCGGGAGCAGAGAAAGCACCTGCCCTGGGAGGTAGTCAGGAGTAGATAGGGTTGTTGGTTGCCTGGCTTACCCACACACAGGGAGGCTGCCAGGGCTGTTGGCTTCTCCTTGCTGGCTGGACTCACCTCCCTGCCTCTCTCCTCGTGGCTGTCCCACAGGACCTTGAAGAGGAAATCCAGCAACATGAAGCACCTGTCCCCAGCACCACAGCTGGATCCCTCCTCTGATTCCCACACCTCCTACTACAGCGAGTCTGTGGTCCGGGAGTCCTACATAGGCAGCCCCCGGGCCGCGTCCCTTGCCAGGAGTGCCCTCCTCAGTGACCGCCTGCAGAGTGAGCCCTACTGGAGTGAGTATCCTAAACCTTCCTCCTAGAACTTGGTCTCCAAGCCCCTCCCCTCTCAGTGTTCCTAAGAGGCTCCTCAAAGCATGTTCCTTGGAGCACCCTTCAGTCCCAAGCCTAACAAGGCTGTGGGAGGCCCAGCAGAGCCCTGTCCCCCCTGCCAGGTGAGGACCTGCGGATGAGGAGGAGAAGAGGCACAGGCGGCAGTGAGAGCAGCAAGGCCAATGGACTCACTACAGAGAAAAAGACCTCAGAGGACTTTTTCGGCTCTTCCTCGGGCTACTCCTCCGAGGATGACTTCGCAGGTAGGTGTTGCCTCCCCCATCCCATGTAAGCAGATTCCTGGACTGCAGGGGACTAAAGGCACCCAGATAGCATGAGATGACTTCACAGTGGTGGACACTTCATGGCCTCACTAAAAACTGGGAATAGGCCTGGAGAGATGGCTCAGCGGTTAAGAACTCTGGCTGCTCTTGCGGAGGACCTGGGTTCAGTTCCCAGCACCACATGGTGGCTAACAACTGTCTGTAACTCCAGTTCCAGGGGCTCTGATGGCCTCTTCTGACCTCCATGGGCACTGCACTTACCTACATACAGGCAATGCACTCATACACATAAAATACAAATAATAATAAAAAATATTTTTTAAAAACTAGGAATAGAGTTCAGTAGTAGAGTGCTTGCTAGCAAACATGAGACCCTGGGCTCAGTCCCCCGTATGTGTGTAGATTTACTGGATGTCCCTCCTGCACCCAAGCTCACTCTGAGTCTGGCCTGAGTGGCCGCTCACACAGGACTGTGTGCCCTTATCTGTCCGACCCTCCTTCACTAGTCTATGAGTGACCAGGACCACACCGCTGTGTTTTGGGCAGTTTAACCTGCATAGTCAATGCACAGCAATTCTGTTATATGCAGGAGTGATTGCCCTGTTTGGTTCTAAACAACTATCTGAGGGACTGTCAGCGAGGAGACAGACAGAAAGGAATAAAATGGCAGTGACTGTGGATATAGCTCAGAGTTAGAGCACTCACCTAGCAAGCCCTAAGTTTAATCCCCAGCACTGAAGGAAGAGAAAAAAAAAATCAGAAACCTCCCATTTCATCCCTTCAAGACCTGTGTGCAGGGCCAGTTTGACACTGTGGCCTAGGATGTGAAGAAAGAGGGTGGGTGGTCTCAGCCCAAGAAGATACCAGGTTCCACATCTTGAGGCTCTAAAGGAAACAGTGAGAGAAAGGAGCTGAGCTGGTTTTCTTCCTCTTCCCTGCAGGCTATACGGACACCAACCAGCACAGTTCAGGGTCAAGGTTAAAGAGTGCAGCATCTCAGGCAGGCTCTCTTGTCTGGATGCTGGTTACTTTCCCAGGTGGGTGCTGGGTGTGCTTGGTTACTTTCACTCTACAGTAGTCACTTCTTACTGTGTCGGTGATTGGGCACTCATTTCAGAGTCTGAGAAGGCTTGTTCTGGAATAATCACTGGGAGTCAAGAGCTGTGAGAACTGCCTCACTGGTGTGGGAAGGAGCAGCTGCAAAGCAGGACAGGACGTGGGAAGACTGGGTTGGTGGGCTTGAACTGGGCCACCATAGAATGGGACAGAAGGGGCCTGGCAAGGGACTGTTGAAGTGGGGCAGGGGAAGACCACAGATGGGGACAGGGTGGTGTGCTAAATATGACCAAGTCTTAGGCTTAATGGCCACTTTTCAGGTCGGCTCTTCAGTCTTCTCTATTGGTGGGTTGGCACCACCTGGTACCGCCTGACAACAGCTGCCTCCCTCCTGGATGTTTTTGTCTTAACGAGGTGAGCCTCAATGATGAATCTGAAAGACCTGGTACCACAAGGCATGATAAAGCATCTAAGCCAGAATGTGGTCCTTGTTCCTTGGAATGTTTCCCCAGTCTACATGTAGCTTTTATTTTATTTTATTTATTTTTTCTTTTATGTGTATGAGTGTATTGCCTGCATGTATGTGAGTGCACCTGTGTCGTGCAATGCTGTGGAGGTCAGAAAAGGGCTTCCCATTCCCCTGGAACTGGAGTTAAGGACGGTTCGTAGCTGCCATGTGGGCGTTGGGAATCGAACCCCAGTCCTCTGCAAGAGCAGTCAGTGCTCTTAACTGCTGAGCCATCTCTCCAGCCCCATAGCTTTTATTTTAAAAAATATTTTATTATTTTTATTTTATGTGCATGAGTGTATTACTTGCATGTATGTAAGTGCACCACAGAAGTCAGAAGAGGGCACTGGAACTGGAGGTGCAGACAGTTTTTAGCTGCCATGTGGGTGCTGGGAACCAAACCTGGGTCCTCTGCAGGAGCAGTCAGTGCTCTTAACTGCTGAGCCCTCTCTCTAGTCCCTACATGTGGCTTTTATAAGTGAGCCAGGAGTGATGTCCCCAAGCCATTCCTGCCCAGCAGAGAAGCGCTTAGGTTGGTTTCCTCCCTAACTGATAGCCCTTCTAGCAGGACTTTGGCACACAGGTTCTTACTTTTGCTTGAATCCTTAAGAACCAAGGCCACCCAGCCCAACCACTTCTGAGACTCAGAAGAGGGAGAAAGCAGGGCTTTGTTCTCACTGGCAAACCTTTAGATGCTAACCCAGAAGTAGGGTTGCCAGAAGTCCTGTGACAGTCTACATTCCAGAGTTCTCTTGCCTATGATCAGAAGCCACAAAGAGGCACTGTCTGAGGATGCTGTAGGGTCATCCCCCAAGCTCCCAAATCACCAGAACCAGGATTTGGGAACTTGTTCCTTGGGCAGAAAAAAAGACTAGACCAGGTTAGGGTTCCTCTGGCCATAGTCCAGTGATGCTGAGAAGGGCAAAGGCCAGTAAAGAGTCACCAAAGAACTCAAGAGAATCTGACAGAATTGAGTTTGAAGTCAGCCTGGGCTGCATATCAAGACCCTGTCTCAAAATACACATACATGTCGGGTGTGGTGGCGCACGCCTTTAATCCCAGCACTCAGGAGGCAGAGGTAGGCAGATCTCTGTGAGTTCAAAGCCAGCCTGGTCTACATAGTGAGTTTTAGAAGAGCTGGAACTACAGGGAGACCCTGTCTCAAAAAGACCAAAAAAAAAAAAAATACACATACATATGTACACACACATAAAAAAGGGGGAGGAAAGGAAGGAAGAGAGGGAGGAAACAAATTGTGTAGGTAGCTACCTAGCCTATATTTGCTTGCTTGGAGGATGTTTGTGTTACTAAAAGGGTTATATTTTTCAAATACCACAGTTTGTCATTAATCACTATAGATCCAAAAAACCAGGGCTGGAGAGATGGAGGAATTAAGAGCAAGTACTGCTCTTGAAGAAGACTTAAGTTTGGTTCCCAGCACCCACATCCGGTGTCTCACAACCACCTGTAACTCTAGCTCCAGGGGATCTGACACCCTTTTCTGGCCTCCTCTGGCACCTGCATTCATATGCATAAATCCACATACAGACACAAACACATATATGTAATTTTTAAAAACTTAAAAAAAGAATTCATAGAGCCAGTTTTTCCATATCACTCTTAAGACCTGCAGGTGACATTCTAGTGTCTGACCTGGCCCTGGTCCCATGGAAGCTCAAGGGTACACCCCTTAACTCTAGTTCAGGACTCTAGAAAAATCCCAAGGGACTTGCTGGGTGGAGCATGGAGGCTCAGGACCCTTTTCATGTCTGCCTTCTGTCTGTCCTCCCGAGGTCCAGGCGCTTCTCGTCTCTGAAGACTTTCCTGTGGTTTCTGCTGCTCCTGCTGCTCCTGACCGGCCTGACTTATGGTGAGCAGGGGCTGAACAGAGCGAAGCCCCAGAGGCAGGGGCAGGATGTGGCAGATGTTAGGCTAACAATCAAGGGTGCTTCAAACTAACCTTTCCACTACCCCACCCCCACCCCAAGTCCTCCACTGACTCATGCTGCCTGCTCTGAGGGTGTCCTAGGGCAGAGGGGCAATGCTCTCACCTCTGGATGTTGCAGCCTAGCTGTAGTGCAGCTCACCTCTGGGAGGAACACACCCTAGGACAGCCACTTGGGTAGCAAGCAGGAACTCTGAGCTATTATTAGCAGCAGTCATTTTCCCTCCATTCCAAATCAGGACATAGTCTGTGTGAGTGGATTGTTTTTATAAGATCAAGTGAAATCTTTAGCTGTCTTTAAGCTAAAAGCTGTGTAATAGAAAGAAAGAAAAAACACTTTCAACACCCAGAGACTCACCCGCTGTTTGCCTTGTTGCTGTCATGGGACTTTGTCTTCTTTGCTTCTTGTGTTCTGCCTCTCATTTCACTGTTTGAGCTTCCCATTTCATATGAGTTGGCTATTTAGCTCAAGCCTCACCTTTAATGATCACAGCAATCTTAGAACTAACAGCGATGCTTTTTTTTTCTTGAGAGAGAAAGGATTGGCTTTATAGGTTTGTATTTCTTTTATTAATAACAGGGTAGGACATTTTTCCAACGTTGGTTTCCTTCTTGTTTCCTGTTACAAGAACAGCTTGGTCATATCCAGTGGAAACTGGGCATCACCCTTATAATAATAATAATAATGGCCCTTTATGATCACAGAGCATTTATCCAGCCAGTACTTTCCCAGGTATCAGCTCAGCTTATTCTGAGCTTCATCATCACTTCATGGGGTTGATAGACAGTGTCACAGTCTGGGCTGGTAGGTGTTTGAGTAGAGAGGGTGGCGAATGCTCAGGGAATGGAGGTGGGGCTGAGTCTATTCAGACTCAGGCCTAGTAGCTGTGTATACCCCCTCCTCATGTCCCATATATATGCATTATAAAAGGTGGCTCCTGATTCCAGCTGTCTGTAGCTGCAGGCTTATGCCTTGGTTCTGGGGCCTCGGTGTGCCATCTTACAGTGGGTGCTGTGTTTTCTTGAGTGATGCTCAGCACTGGCATCACATAGAGCCACCTGGTGAGCTTCTGAGCCCACCCATGATTCATCCCACCCAGGCCAATTAACTCTTTCTGGACAGTGCAGCCAGAGGCTTGGAAAAACTCCCCAGGATATTACATAATGAGGCCATCGAGGGCCACTATCCGGGCTCCCATGAGGGTCCCTGCATTCCACCCCAGAGAATCCTTAGCTGATTAAAGAAAAGTGCTTTCAGCTGGGCGTGGTGGCACACGCCTATAGTCCCAGCACTTGGGAGGCAGAGGCAGGTGGATCTCTGTGACTTCAAGGCCAGCCTGGTCTACATAGTGAGTTCCAGGACAACTGGGGCTACAGGGAGACCCTGCTTCAAAAAAACAAA